ATGTCTCCTATCTCGGCCTGGAATATGCTACTATAACTACTACTATGCTGCTGCTACTGCTACTCCTCCTCCTCCTCCTCCTCCTCCTCCTCCTACTACTACTACTACTACTACTACTACTACTACTACTACTACTACTACTACTACTACTACTACTACTACTACTACTACTACTATGACTACTCTCACCACTACTACTACTCTTACTACTAATACTAATACTTCTACTACAACTCTTATTACCACTCTTACTACTACTACTACTACTACTACTACTACTACTACTACTACTACTACTACTACTACTACTACTACTACTACTACTACTACTACTACTACTACTACTACTACTACTACTACTACTACTCTTACTACTACTACTACTGTTACTACTACCACTACTACTACTACTACTACTACTACTACTACTACTACTACTACTACTACTACTACTACTACTACTACTATTACTACTACTAATACTACTACTCTTACTACTACTACTATTCTTACTACTACTACTCTTACTACTACTACTCTTACTACTACCACTACTACTACTACTACTACTACTACTACTACTACTACTACTACTACTACTACTACTACTACTACTACTACTATGACTTCTGCTCTGCTCCTACTACTGCCACCACCCCACTACTATTACTGCTACTGAAGTAATGACGACCATTACTGCAAAACAGATAACAACACAGCCTCCAAAGCTTCAACAATGCCTATAGACACAGAGACTAAAAAAAAACCCAGACACAAGATCCCCCGTGTCACCGCCATTATCCCTCGACTGACAACGACATTTGACAAAACTCTGTCTTGGCTGTCCTCACTTCTTCACAAGTCACAATATTGACAATCTCGGAATGTGCAAGAAGCCGAAAGACATCTGCACAACCCGTAGAAAGTAGCCTCGCGTCGAGATAACACACGAAGACTTGTTTGGTTTAGGACTCGAGGCTCTAAGGAAGATGAATGGAAGCAAATTTGTCGTCTTGACATGGCGTGCTACCTGTCTGAGGCCTGTCTGAATATCAATGGGATGCACGTGACAATACACAAGTCAGTACAGTAATAGATAACAAGGTATACGCACGTAAAGAGATATATGGTTTGTGGCCTGTATTTGTTTTTTTTGTTTTTTTCACGATGCTTTTTGGCTCATAGACAGACAGATCAGTTCTTTATTTTTTAGTATTTACCCCAAACACAGGGAATCCCGGAGTTCCCAGGATAGTCCAATACCTTGCGAAAGTTTTGCTGCACATCTTACGAAGTAATGGCTGAATATTTTGCAAGGGCTTTGCTGTATATCTTGCGAAGTTTTTGCTGCATATATTGCGAGGTTTTTGCTACAGATCTTGCAAAGGGGTTTGCTGAAAATCTTGCGAAATGTGTGTTGATTATCTTACGGAGTTATTGCTGTCTTTCTTACAAAGTTATTGCTATATACCTTGCGAAGATTTTTTGCTGCAAATCTTGCAATATGTTTGCTGCATATATTCCGAAGTTTTTGCTGCAGATTTTGCAAAGGTTTTGCTGCATATATTGCGAAGTTTTTGCTGTGAAACTTGCGAAATTTTCGCTACATATCTTGTGAATTTATTGCTGCCTATCTTGCGAAGTTTTTGCTGCAAACCTTGCGAGTTTTTTTTAAATCGCATGGATAATCATCTGTGTCAGAGTTGACTGAAAGTACACGAGACAGATGGTTGGGGATAGATATGACTACCAACGCCACACGGCATTGACTTTAGGCAGACGACGTTACAGTTACGAAACAATCTGCTGGATGGAAGTAAATGAAACGTAGTCCTACTAGTACACAGTTATTGTTTGATAACTAAGCTGGGGAAAATGTATGCTAAGATCTTAGAAGGTAGGATAAGAGCAAAGGTTGAACCTCTACTGAGTAAAGCACAATTCGGTTTCAGGAAAGGGCGAGGTTGCACTGATGCCATATTTGCACTAAGACAAGTCTGTGAAAAGACACTCGAATACGATAAAGAGCTGAACGTGGTCTTTGTAGATCAAGAGAAGGCATTCTACCGTGTGGACAGAGATGTGCTGTGGAGAATTCTTGACGATTACGGAGTGCAGGGTCAATTATTAGACAACATCAGAGCCCTCTATGAAAAAAGTGAAAGTGCAGTAAGAACATCTAGTGGTCTTTCTGAATGGTTCAAAGTCACAACTGGTGTCAGACAAGGATGTGTACTGTCACCATTACTTTTCATAACATACATGGATAAGATCACTGTAGAAGCAAACCCAGACGTGTATGCTATAAACGAAATACTTTTTGCTGATGATCAAAGCATACTGTATCAAAATGAATATGATCTACAGGAACATCTGACTACTCTCAACAACAGCTGTTTACAACATAATATGAGAATCAGTACAAAAAAACAGAAGTTATGAAGATCAGCAGAACACACAGGCCACTGAATATAAATGTTGGAAGTGCCAAAATCAAGCAAACCAAAGAGTTCAAATACTTGGGCAGTATATTTACAGAGGATGGAAGAATGGACAGAGAGATAGAAACAAGAATACAGAAAGCAAATGCTGTCACATACCAACTATCACCTCTGCTTAAACATCCAGATATAACCATGAAGACCAAAAGACAATTGATAAACACCATCTTCATTCCAACACTCTGCTACCAGTGCCAGACATGGACAATCAACAAGACCCATGAAAGAAAAATAGAAGCTTGTGAAATGAAATGTCTAAGAAAAGCAGCGAATAAGACCAGACTAGACAGGATAAAGAACATAGACATTAGAAACACTGTCAAAACTACACCATGTTTAGACTACATAGAACATCAAAGAATGAAATGGTTTGGACATCTAACCAGGATGAAAAATGACCAAATAACATCACAAATTTTCAACCAAAGAAGCTCAGGATATAAGGCAAGAGGAAGACCAAGGAAACGGTGGATTGACGGGGTCTCCGAAACCTGCCAAAAGCATGGCCTCAGAACATCAGATGCTGCCTGCCTTGCTTATGACAGGAACTTGCATCTCCCCACAACGCTTAGCGGCATACGTGGAAGGAAAAAGTAAAAGTAAAGTAAAGTAAACTAAGCTGATTTCTTCTTGTGCGTTCATCCAAAGACGTAACTGCGTTCTGTCCCTTACATCATGGCTGCGATTTGTGTCTTCGGCCGATACATCCAACTTCTGCAGGCATTTATTGACAGGGTTAGCATTCTCGGAAACGTTGAGGTAATTGATAGCTATTTTAGGGGTCCCCTATTTTAGGGGTCCCCTTGGCGAAGTGGTCAATCCGTCTGCCTCGAGTTCTGAAGGTCGTGGGTTCGTTTCACGGCGGCGCCGTTTAGTTTACGAGTTCAGTTTTTACCGAGATCCTTATGGATCGTCGCCTGAGCTACAGAGGTCGTGCTTTGTGTGAAGCTCTCGACAGGCTGTCCTACGGAGAGAGACTGAGCTACATGGAATAAAGCCCAGTTCAATGAAGTCTATCGTCTCACCTTTACTTTTATAACTATTTTACACGTAATTGCAACTTCAGCCTTAGACACAAAAGCCAGAAGCTCACACTGACACCAACCCAGACCTCTATTTAAACACGTCCACCAACCCAATGTCCCATAAAGTTCCCACACAATTTTCAGGTCAAGAGCCATTCAGCCATCTCACCCCCAAGTTTACCCAAGACTTCAGTAAAACGCCCCATAGATCGCCTCTCCCTTTGTGCCTCCACAGCTTGCCAAGTAGCCTCAAAGATCGATCAGACGGTAGTTAAAAGGCCAGTTTGTCCACAAAGCTTAAACCGGTCAGCCAGCCACTGGACATCGGGCTCAAACAAAGCCAGGTACACGCTAGGGCGAGCGGTCAAGATGAAACTGCCACGTCCAACAATGGAATGTGTACATACCCTTAGGTCTGGGTGGAATTAACACTCTTTGTGTTTCAATTTATATCTATTTACCTCTGACGCGGACTGGGTGTTTAGTCAAGGAAGTCTAGAAGCACCTTGCCTCTCACCTGTCTTATTATGACGTCGCCCAGGTATGTGGAATCCTACAAGATTGGCCCTTCCTTTCTTTAAAATTAGACCCACATCTGTAAAATTCCTCCCGGACAACAAAAGTGCAATTAACTTATACAATCTGATACGGTATTTTCGTGAAATGAATGAACACAACACCCAATATATGACTAGGAATTTCAAGAAAGGGAGCTCTCTGGTGGCTGATTAATACGGCAACGGATGGTGCACGTGAGGGAATGTCCGAAAGTACTAATGCCACTTCATTCATTATTTCATTCATTGATTCATTCATTTATTTATTGATTTCTTCTTCTTCTTCTTCTTCTTCTTCTTCTTCTTCTTCATCATCTTCTTATTTCCTTATATCCTGTGCCCATCTTTGTGGTGGTAGGTCCTTGCCTCTCCTTCCTAGTTCCATGCCTTCTGTATTAGTTTTTCCAATCCGTCATGGCGCTTGATGTGACCAAAAGATTCCATCTTTAGAGATAAGATTCTGTTTATTAGCAAATATTTCTTGATGGTCACATCTCTTAAAACATAAATATTTCATCTCGTCTTTGTCTATGGTATTCTGCGAATCATTCCATGTAATTTCAGCTCAAAAGCCCCTATTTGATTTCTCAAGGACTGGGAGATAGTCCACGACTCACATCCGTCTGTTGCTACAGGGAAGATGCACGCTCTCAATCTTTTTTTTTTTTTTAGCTCGTGCTTAACTACAGACTTTTAATGCTGCTTAAAGGCCACACATTCGAGCAAGAATTCACAGATTTACTTAACTGACGCATCTTCAAGATAAACCACGTTATCTCTCTGTCTAGTTGAATCCCTGACACATGTGCGACCACCGGAAATAGACACTTTAAAGACAAAAATTGTCAAATGCAAGAATAGTAATTGAGACGAATGGGAATAACAGGCGGAAGAAGACGAAAGAAAAAGAGACTCACCTGCGACATAATTCTATCTGCTCCAGTGCCTTCTTCATCCTTAAACAAGATGTCCGGGTTGTTGTTTCGAACTAAATCTTTGAACTTGGCGTCTCCCCGTTTGATTCGCCCGTCCGTTAGGCCACTGGCGCCTAGGGTGTTCTCACTAACGTTAGGCACGTGCTGTTTGAAGACCAGAGGTGTCAGTTTTCTGGACTTTCTTCTCCTCCCCGAGCCTCTTCCGGGTCCGCAGCTCTCTCCAGGAGATAGCAGCAGCAGCAGCAGCAGTAGAAGCAACGTGACTATGTTTCTCCCTCTGTCACTGATACGCATTGTGTCTGTGGACAGATTAAACAAAAAAGTTATTTTATGACTTCAGAATCAACATCATGGTACCACGGATATTTTTATAAGCGTCCCCTCCCCATCTTCAGCAGGTCCACTTCTGGTCATCATCATCATCATCATCATCATATGCACTTCCAACCGGCTTCATGTGTCGCCACAGATCTCGGTCTTTGGTGTTCTGGATCACTTCTACTGATGATATTCCTCCATGCCACTGTCTTAAGCCATCCACCATCTATTCTCTTGGTCTACCTCTGCCTCTTCTACCAGCGAAATTTCCAGTCGTCGTGATATCTTCCAGTGCTCTTGTTCTCACTTCTGATAGTATCCTTAAATGGATCAGCACAGTCTGGTGAGAGTGATGCAGCGGGAAGTGACGAGACGATCTAGCAGATACTCAATGCTAAGAGCACATTCAAGACGGGCGTATAATCATAATGTTCATGGCACCATTGGTACTGGAACACTGCACTGGCTGCTGAAGATGGGGACGGAACGCTTATGGGAATGCCCAGAGTTCTCTGATGTCGGTTCTTGAATGACCTCAGGTATACTCAGTATCGGTAACTGGTTGAACTGGTCCGTCTTGTCCCTCCTGTGAGTGTTGAGCCTCTGACAGTTCTTCATCTTACTCCTCCTTAAAACCCTCTCTTTAGATCCTGATGAAGTTTTTGAGCCTCTACAATGTTTCTCGCTCCTAAAGAGCAGTTACAATATAAAGATTAAAAAAAAAAAAAAAATCAGACGAAAATGTTAAGTTAGTTGCGTATCCTTTTACGGGACGTTGCAGAACCAACCCCAGAATTGTGTTGGCTGTTGTGGTTTTTTCTAGGCATATTTACGTCCAGTTTGTTTGGTTTAGCCTGCGGAAAAGTTTTTATAGTTTTTGATGGACGGCTGTTGAAAAAAATTTAAGAAACACTGCTTCACAGGACGTTGCAGAAACAACTATGGCATGTGTGTGTGTGCCTGCTGTGGTTTTACTTAACAATTTAACCTTCACTGTTACTGCACTGAACGGTCGGTTCTTGCTACCACTGTTGGAGCCAAAGTAGCCTAGCTCGCTAGCTCAGTCGGTTAAATCTGACTACGCGGCAACCGGCTGACAAACTCCTTGTGCTCCGGGTTCACACTCGGGGGTAGGAAGTAAAGTCACATTTTTCTACCAGATTTGCGGCATCTATTATAGAATCATGGCCGAAATATGGCGATATGCATAGTGTCGAGACAAAGGGTTTACAACTCATCGTTTCTGTATATTAAAATAAGGCCAAAGAAAAACATTGCAATTGCCCTAAACAGTCCGCTCTTGATACCACTGTTGAAGACCAACCAAGACATTGCAATTGCCCCAAACGGTCCGCTCTTGACACCACTGTTGAAGCCCAACCAAGACATTGCAATTTTCCCAAACGGTCCGCTCTTGACACAACTGTTGAAGCCCAGCGAAGACATTGCAATTGCCCCAAACGGTCCGCTCTTGACACCACTGTTGAAGACCAACCAAGACATTGCTATTGCCCCAAACGGTCCGCTCTTGACACCACTGTTGAAGCCCAACTAAGACATTGCAATTGCCCCAAACGGTCCGCTCTTGACACCACTGTTGAAGCCCAACTAAGACATTGCAATTGCCCCAAACGGTCCGCTCTTGACACAACTGTTGAAGCCACACCAAGACATTGCAATTGCCCTAAACGGTCCACTCTTGACACCACTGTTGAAGCCCAACTAAGACATTGCAATTGCCCCAAACGGTCCGCTCTTGACACAACTGTTGAAGCCACACCAAGACATTGCAATTGCCCTAAACGGTCCACTCTTGACACCACTGTTGAAGCCCAACCAAGACATTGCAATTGCCCCAAACGGTCCACTCTTGACACCACTGTTGAAGCCCAACCAAGACATTGCAATTGCCCCAAACGGTCCACTCTTGACACCACTGTTGAAGCCAAACTTAGACATTGCTATTGCCCTAAACGGTCCGCTCTTGACACCACTGTTGAAGCCAAACTAAGACATTGCTATTGCCCTAAACGGTCAGTGTTCCATAGCTGTCGATTCCCACTGTATGATATACTTAGCTTGCGATGACAAACCTTCTTGTTATGGGTGTCTAGTGACCATGCGTATTAGTTTCTACAGCGAGGAGCCTTCGTCATCTGTGAGCGACAGGTTCGAGTCCCGGCACGATAATTATAGCTTTTAATTTTTATGTTGTTTACTGTGTCCTCTTATCGCTCTATCTCTTTTTTTATAAGTGCCGATAAGTTCTCGTATGTTTATTATAACCACTGACTCAGGGGTACCCCGTCTGTTTATAATCACCAAAACATCTATGCTTCAGCAGCGTCATTGCCAATTATAATCGGCCACAAGATCACCAAGACATCATTGCAACAGAAGCGACATTACCGATTATAATCGGCCACAACATCAGCAAAACAGCATTGCAACAGCAGCGACATTGCCGATTATAATCGGTCACAACATCAGCAAAACATCATTGCCACAGCAGCGACATTGCCGATTATAATCGGCCACAACATCAGCAAGACATCATCGCAACAGCAGCGACATTGCCGATTATAATCGGTCACACCATCAGCAAAACATCATTGCCACAGCAGCGACATTGCCGATTATAATCGGCCACAACATCAGCAAGACATCCTCGCAACAGCAGCGACATTGCCGATTATAATCGGCCACAACATCAGCAAGACATCATCGCAACAGCAGCGACATTGCCGATTATAATCGGCCACAACATCAGCAAGACATCCTCGCAACAGCAGCGACATTGCCGATTATAATCGGTCACAACATCAGCAAGACATCCTCGCAACAGCAGCGACATTGCCGATTATAATCGGTCACAACATCAGCAAGACATCCTCGCAACAGCAGCGACATTGCCGATTATAATCGGTCACAACATCAGCAAGACATCATCGCAACAGCAGCGACATTGCCGATTATAATCGGTCACAACATCAGCAAGACATCATCGCAACAGCAGCGACATTGCCGATTATAATCGGCCACAACATCAGCAAGACATCACCGCCACAGCAGCGACATTGCCGATTATAATCGGCCACAACATCAGCAAAACATCATTGCCACAGCAGCGACATTGCCGATTATAATCGGTCACAACATCAGCAAGACATCCTCGCAACAGCAGCGACATTGCCGATTATAATCGGTCACAACATCAGCAAGACATCATCGCAACAGCAGCGACATTGCCGATTATAATCGGTCACAACATCAGCAAGACATCCTCGCAACAGCAGCGACATTGCCGATTATAATCGGCCACAACATCAGCAAGACATCCTCGCCACAGCAGCGACAGTGCCGATTATAATCGGTCACAACATCAGCAAGACATCCTCGCAACAGCAGCGACATTGCCGATTATAATCGGTCACAACATCAGCAAGACATCATCGCCACAGCAGCGACATTGCCGATTATAATCGGTCACAACATCAGCAAGACATCCTCGCAACAGCAGCGACATTGCCGATTATAATCGGTCACAACATCAGCAAGACATCCTCGCAACAGCAGCGACATTGCCGATTATAATCGGTCACAACATCAGCAAGACATCCTCGCAACAGCAGCGACATTGCCGATTATAATCGGTCACAACATCAGCAAGACATCCTCGCCACAGCAGCGACATTGCCGATTATAATCGGTCACAACATCAGCAACTAAACTGCCAGACATGATATGTTGCTGTTTGGGAGCAACCGTTCATCGCAAAACCCGAGCACTCCCCGTGTAAGTTCCGGGGCCCCATTGTGGGGCCACGGAGGATAGGGGAAAAAGGGGGGGGGGGGCTGAGAGAAAAAGACCCACTCTCCCTTGCACCTCTTCGCACAACACTTATCTCGCAGAGTAGAATATGTTAGAAATTTACTGAAATCGGATGTGTTGGGCCGAAAAGCGCAAATATCCCAGCCTAAATGAAAATCCCAACACAGCATTTTAAAGGGAAAATACTAACACGAAAAGAGGAAGAAGAAGAAACAGAAAGAAGAAGAAGAAGAAGAAGAAGAAGAAATGAAGGAGGAGAAGAAGAAGAAGAAATGAAGGAGGAGAAGAAGGAGAAGAAGAAGAAGAAGAAGAAGAAGAAGAAGAAGAAGAAGAAGAAGAAGAAGAAGAAGAAGAAGAAGAAGAAGAAGAAGAAGAAGAAGAAGAAGAAGAAGAGGAAAAAAAGAAGAAGATGAAGAAAAAGAAGAAGAAGAAGAAGAAGAAGAAGAAGAAGAAGAAGAAGAAGAAGAAGAAGAAGAAGAAGAAGAAGAAGAAGAAGAAAAAGAAGAAGAAGAGATGGGGGAAATGGAGGAGGAGGATAGGAGGAGGAAGAGGAAGAAGAAGAAGAAGAAGAAGAAGAAGAATGAGGAGGACGAGGAGGAGAAGGAAAAAGCGGGGCAGGGGAAAAAAACCGCTTAAAGACAGCAGAAAAACCAGAGAAAGCTTGAGTGAGATGTTGACATGGCCAAACTGTGTAGGAATATTTGCATTACTACAGACACCAACGCTACAATGCCACTTTCCTTGTAGACTAGAGATAACATCAGAATAGATACCAAAGAGAAACGATAACAAGCACGCTCCAGAAGGAATGTAGTTTGTATGTAAGTCGCGGGAGGGATAAGTCTTCGCTGAGCCGATTAGTGATTTGTCCAGTGGCTATACAATCGTTGGTGCGTGGATTGTTATCATGGTACAGGTCGTCACAGGTCGACCCAGCCTAACAAAATGGGTACTAGTATGTATGACCTGGGGAAGTAAAGACCGCTGGTGTAATGCTTACCACACTACCCACCTAGTGCCGATTGGCTGTAAAAATGTGGGTGCTCTTCCCTGAAGCGGCTAAGATGTAAAAAGTTATATTCACTTTTTTACTCTTTATACAATCGCTGCTAGGCGTCCGTGACCCATGCATTGCGAACGCGCAT